ACCTCACTTCTAGTAAATATTTGCTTTTATGTTTTTTTGTTGCAGTATAACTAGTGTCAGAACATTTTATTCCAACAAGCAATACAGTATAAATATAACAGTTCTCCCATCTTTTTCCCTCCTTCTTTAGGGAACATCCTATTGGGGACAAGAGTTTCCAGAGTTACATCAGGCAGCAATCTGAAATCTCAGCACATTCCATTTAAAGTGTGAAGGAGATCACAGGATGGTGCTGACAGGTCAAATCAATGAAGCGACAAGCTTAAAATCTAAAATAAAAGGGAAGCCACATGTAGCAAAATGTAGATAACAAGTGTCAAGCTTACAGACTTTGGGACTTGCTAAGTGTGTTGTTCTTTCTCCGAGAACTGTTACGATAGTTGCTATGCACTTTATTCATCTGGTTATCAACAGATGATTGAACTCTGCCTTCTAGGCAGCTGCTGTTGTGTGTGTGTGTGTTTATGTTTTATATTTGCTTTGGTTTCTTGGAATCTAGTGATCAGTTCAATGATCAAGGTGTGTGGACTTCATCTTGACACTCTGGCAATTCCTTACATTGCTGAAACCGAGCGAGCCGTTGAAAGGCAGCATTTTCTAGAATTGTTCGTACTGTTTTTTTTTTTGCGGGGGGGGGGAGGTTGTTCCTGGTTACTGTATGTTATGTCACACATCCGCATGCTATCTTAGGAAAAGCTTAGCGACACTTTGCTGTTAATGCCGACATTAAAAAAGGAAGTGGTAAAAAAGCCCTTCTTTTTTCAGCGTCGTCTCCCACGTTGTAGCCCGTATTATTGAGAGCTGGTCGATGAGCAGGCCTTTTGTTTTTATAGTAGCATAATTTCTGTTAAAAGATGCATAGGTTTTAATTGAACTCCAGATCTGAGTGGTACTCTTGATATTTTTGAGATACAAAGTTGTTTCTACAAAACCTTCAGTGGACTTCTGTTTTCAATATGAAATCTTGGTTCTGTAATGAAATTAACTAACATGAATTAGAGTAGGTGAAAGGAAATGTCTAGCCTTGACATTAGTTTGCTGTACAGTCTAGTCACCGTAAGATTTGAATGGCTATTTTGGAAGTGCCATTTTAAGGAGATTAGAGAGACAAGGTGGGGAAGGTGATATATTTTATTGGACCAAATTCTGTTGGTGAGAGAGAGAAGCTTTTCAAGCTTACATTTCCCACACCTGAAAAAATGCTTTGTGTAAGGTCGGCTCTCTCACCAACAGAAGTTGGTCCAATAAAAGACATTACCTCACCCACCTTGTCTCTCTAATATCCTGGGACCAACATGGCTACAACAACACTTGATAATTTAAGGGGAGGTTAAACAACTTGTTCTGATTTTGAAAAATGGCACTGCTTTTCCACTGCAGCCGGGAGAGTGCTTAGAGCCCTGTGCCTGACAGCTGAAATATACCAACTCCCAAATAGTCTTTGGAGATGGTTTGCTACTGAATATTGCTTAAAAACTGAGATCCATGTGATCCTGGCACCACTTGGTTTTTTGGAATATAGATTTATACTTTTCCAGGAAAGTTTTTTAAATCTTTTAAAAAATATGTAAATAAAAGTTTGCTAAAAGTAATTTAAGCTTCAGTACATTAGTTTGTTACATGTATTAATGTGTTGTGAGTGTAGAGGAAGTAGAATGAACTATGTATCTCACTAATATCAACAAATGTGGAGGGGAATTAAAAATCTGCTAAATATAAAGTGTGTGTATGCGTGTGTGCTGGTTAGTTGTATGCCATAACTCTCCTCCATAAGGGTCTGATTCAATAAGCATCTGGCTGAGATTGCTCAGACATCCATGCAATGTCATGGAAGTTATGGGTCGTAAGCTTCTGTGCAGCAGAACTGGGTATTGTTTTTCAGTTGAATTGGATCAGAAAATATTAAACTTTCAGCTTTTTAATGTGAAGATATTTGTATCTTTTCCTAAAGTGTTACCAAATAAATCTTCAACAGTTTCCTCATTGCATTTGGAGCATGGCTGACCTAGTTTGAAAGTCTCTGTTTATTAGTGGTGTTGTTAGGAATGGGATTTCTTTGTTCTGTGTGAACATGCTGTAGACCAGAATCCCAATAAATGATTGTCATGTTATTCATTGTCACCAGGAAGAGTGGGGGAGGGGAAATAGAAAAGTGTTGCAAAACATGAATTTTGGACTCCAAGCTGTTAGCTGCCATTTAATTGCAATTTTAACCGTATTTATAACTTAATATTCTGTTTATAAAATACTAATGATCTGTAATGTGTGTTCTACTTGCCAATTAAAAAAAGTGTTTTATTTCTGAAAAGTGTGTCCTTCTAATCTAAATATAGTCCAAATTTAATGAAAAGACGAGATAATGGTTATAACCTATCACGTCAGGTAGTATAGCATCTGCGTACAGGGCTGAGCAGCGCATTTAGTGAATAATACGTATTCTGTGCCAATTACTGTGTGAATGTTAAAAAAAAATGTAACTACTCAGTCTGTTAAGTAATTGTTTTTTCGAATGTTCAGTTTCTCCAAGTGGCAGTTAGTTCACCCGCTCAAGGGCTTCTATGAATTCAGCATAAACTGCACGATTTTCTGTGCTGAGCTATATTCACCACAGTTCTACTAGTGGGCCTTTGTAGGAACACTAGGAGCTGGTAAACATCACTTTTGTAGAAGACAATCTGCCATAATGCCTGGAAGCATACGATAGTCCAGCTAATAATCAAGAAGCCACTCCTCACTGCAACAGATCTGAGCGGCTGTCATGGGGACCCAACCCCTGTTTCTGGAAGAAGAGCAGTTTTAAACAACTGCTCCCTAGCTGAGTGGTGGAGTTGTGGTTTAACAGGTAGACCACAATCCGTGTTGCTGAAGCAGGAAAGAGGACCATTGTGGTGAAGGGAGAAGTTGGCTAGCGATTTTTACCACAATAACCAAAGCTGATTTCAGTGTGGAATTGCTATTGTTTCACAGATCCTCTTTAATTAACAATCCAAACATTTACAGCAAGCAAGCAGAACTCTAACCCAGAACTCTAACCCTTAGAATTGGTTTATGGTTGTACACTAAGGAACAAGTGCAGAGTTAACTCCCAGCTTGGTATGCCTTTCTTCTACTCAAACTCCTTCTCCGGACACTAGTAGCCCTTGATGCTGTTCTGAGATGGCCTTCCTGCCCCCAATAGTTTCCTGTTCTCTGTTGGCTTTCCTGGCCTGCTGCAGTTGCTTTATTCCATGCCAGGATGCCTACACCTAGCTGTCCCTGCCACTGTGCGCTCCCTGCACTGCCTCTGGCCCATTCTGACATTGCTAGTACAAAGATGCAGAGTAGAAGGGTTGGTCATGGAGCAGAAGGGCAGGATGCAACTCGTTCTGCCAGCAAAAGCTAACCCCTACCCTCCTCTGAGTCCTTCTCTTTCCCTCCACAATGCCCTCATGCTCCAGGAAAACAGCCAGTTCTGAAACATTAAAACCATCAAGGGCTACCAGTGTCCTGAGAGCCAGTAGCTGTAAAACAGTTTGAAATAAGATTGAAGAGTTGCTGATACAGCTCCATATTTAAGGTATTCTAAAATCTCCTTATCTTGAAAGACACCAGGTTTTGTACAGGTAGAACACACTCTCCAGGAGGCCTTTATCCTGACCCACAGAGATCCAGCTCTAATCTACATTTTAGTTAAGGATCAGCTCTTGCTTTCCTAGAGCTAACTTAGGATGCAATTTAAACCTTTGTTCCAGTTTCCAAGTTTGAATTTTCTCACATCCCTTTCCAACTCACAAATTCTTAGACTGGACAGTGTCTAGAGTCCTTGAATTCTAGAACACTCTGTTAGGCCAAACAATGGATGCGTTCTAACCAAATGCAAATGAGACAATGTCAGCCAGTGATTTTGACTTTGGTTCTTTCTAATCCTTTAAATGCATTTCTCCTGTGGTCCCCTCGCCTCAAATAGTGCCCTCCATATCTTACTGTATACTTGTTGGACACACCTGGAAACAAAGAACTCAAGTTATTCTAGATTCTCACTACCACTTAAGTGTTGAACTAATATTAACCTTCAAACCTGCATTTTCCCAGCAAAACAACTATGCAAGAGCACCAATTATGATGAGAGTTGCACATGAAAACCAAGCTTCCAAAACCTTCACAGAAATTTGGTAACACTAGCAATTAGCTTTTGGCTACTCCTTGTAGTGATTTTAATATAGGCCGCAGATACTCACTTGACTAACCTGATTCTCAGACAGAAATGCATCATGAATGGGAAAAGTCTGTGGGTACCTTTCATTCCTAATTGCCTGGGATTAAAAATAAACTCTAAAACAGTCTATGGATGTGAGTGATCTTGTCCTCTTTCCTCTCCTGGGTCCAATATGCCAGCTCAAAGATGCAAATAATTTTAAGTGGAAAACAAAGTAATATTCACAATCCAGGCTGTTAACTCATTGGATTATTGGAGTCAAGAACATTGCTACTCATTTCTAGTGGCAATGTTCAGTGCACTAGAAAAATCTGTTTTGGTAGAGGAATTTAAAAGGCCCCCTTCTGGATCTCTTCCACGCCAAACCTGCAGGAGGGGACACATCGCTGCACATTCCAAAAAGGAGAGTTTGAAATGGATTTATCTGGCACATTTGTCTGTAAAACTTCACATCAGAGAAACAGGCCTTCTTATGGGACTTTCCAGGTTTGCCAACTGGGTTTTAGCTGATGTTTAAAATCCTCGCACTTCTTTTGAAAATGTGTACACTGCATTTGTGGAGTATGTGTGGGGCACAGCTGCTTCAGTGATGAAATAAACCGTGTTGGGGCCTTTAAATGTCACTGCTATGACGTACTGGTGGTGTTTATGATGTCACAAAGATATCCAACATCAGGAGTACTAAATGCCACACACACACCAAGATTTTTCACTCAGTAAATACATCAAGTGAGAGTCAGGAAACCATGGATCTTGCCTGGTAACTTTTAAGGTCTTGTGACTCTCCTCCACATAAAATCCCAAAATGGAAAAGGATGTAAGCCCATCACACAAGAGATATATGCAGGGGGTCCTACTATCAAAAATAGCACCTGGCGTCCATAGAGTCCTCACAGAAACATCTGATCTTTACAGAAGTAAAAGTGTCAGTGGCCTCCCATTGAAGTCTGAGCTCACCAACCTGATTGAGAAGACCCTGCAAGAAGTTGGTAAGAAATTGTGTCCATCTGAAAAACAGAGCTCTTCGCTTAGAGACTTATTTGGGGAAGAGAGGGCTGCTTGCAAGGCATCTCTACCTGATGCCTACATTCCTTTGCTGTAATTACCAGTGGCTGAATGAATAATAATTATACACTCTTTATCAATGGCATAAATGCATCATGGTCTAGTAGCATAATCACAGGACAGAAAGCCAAGCACTCATGTATTCTCTTCTCAGCTCTGACATACAGTTGATGTGTATCTGGGCAAATTGCATATTCTCCTTTCACTCCAGTTTTAGTGAGTTCATGCACTCACCAGTGTAAATTAGGAGTAACTCCAATGAAGTCAATGGAGTTACTCCTGATTTACGCTGGTGAGTGCAAGAACTGAATTGTCAGCTTCTCTCTCTATTCATTAAATGAGGATAATACTTACCCGTCTTATAGGATTTATCAAATATTTGTACAGAGCTCCAAAGATTTGCAATGTTAAATATTATCATTATGTATTGATTATTATGCCCAAAGTTGTCTGCCCTTAACAGAATTACCAACAGAGTTAACATAAATAGGTCAGTTAACCAAATAAATATGAGACAAAATGTAAAGATCCACCAACAGCCTAGGCTAAATGTAACGAATATATGAACTATAAAGAAATAACCTCACAACAACTTCAAGCAGTTATGAGTCTCATTTAGAAGGATGGGTACCACACACACACACATCTGGTGAATGTTATGGGCAACAGCATTCCAGGGGGGCTGGAACAGTTTGTATAGTGGGGGTGCTGAGAGCCATTGAACCAAACTGTAAACCCTGGATCTGAGGGAAACCACTTCAAGCCAGGGGTGCTGCTGCTCTCCCAGGACTCCTAGTTCCAGCACCGATGCAGCATCCCAGAGATCTGGACCCTGGATGGAGGCAGTCTCCTCATCTTTCTGACGACGCTCAGCATCTTAAAATTCAGTCACCATTGCCACTGTTTTACACTCGCCTGAGTAGAGCGGGGTGACATTTTTCAAATAGTTTATTTGCTGAAAAATGCAGGTTTGGGTCGACTGAAACTATTTGTGAATTCAGTGAATACAAAAAAAAAGTCAAAATATTTTGTTTTGCAAAACAAAAAGGTGTAAATGAACAAAACCAAACCCCCTCACCTGAGAATTAAGCGATGAAAAAACGGGGGAGGAGGGTTGAGAAACTTCATCAAACCCAAAATAAAATTTTATCAATTTTTTATTTTGGCTACTGAAAGCTCAATTATTCACTTCGCTCTTCTCCTCACCTCAGGCAGATGATAGAAAATAGATTTTGCATTAATTTACCTGAGGTTATGAGCACACTTAAGTTTTAAAGAACTATGATACGTGTGATAAAATATTTTTGGATTATTCCTGTGTTTAGCAAAAAGCTTTTTCTCAACTCAACTTACCCAATTAGCAGTAAGCCTTTGGGAAACCCTGGTGACGTTGGCCTGGAAATTTGCATATTTGGCCCCCATCCTTCGTTATAATAAAAATGTAGCTCTTGGCACTGGTCACACTAGAGTCTTAGATGCACAGTGTTACAAACAAGCATAAATTGATCTTAGGCATTTGAATTTCTGTTAAGAAGGCAGTATTGATGTAACTGTGTTGGTCCCAGGATACTGACCTGAAGAAAAGCTCTGTGGAGCTTGAAAGCTTCTCTCTTTCCCCACCAGTAGCTGGTCCAATAAAAGATATTACCTCACCCACCTTGTCTCTCTCTTACTGGTGCACTGATTTTGAAGCATATAGAGCATTCCTCTGCAGGTGGAAGGATTTCCACAATGCTAAAAATGTAATGATTTTATACCTGCAGAGAATTTTGCTGAAGAGAGTAAAGGAGGAAAAGAATTCTATGAATGATGGTGGAAGGAAATGTAACAGACAGTCACATTGGTTTAAAAATGAGAATTGTGCACAAAAGAAACACAATAAAAGAATTTGTACTTCCTTTTAACAAGGTTTTCTGTGTTGGTCTTCATCATCATTATCAAGGCAAATCCCAAAACGACAAAGCCTCCTTGCAAATTGAAGGGATTGAGTGTGTTTTGTTTTCTTTGTTGCAACCCAGCGACTATTACTCCTTTCAAACCTACCCAAAAGTCATATTCCTGTAGCCATGACATCAGGAAATGACTTGAGATTTCCCTGATTAGAAGAGAGAGGATATGAGAAACAAGCCCTTTAAACACAGTGGACTGGAATTATCCCTGCTATAAGCAAATGCAACTCCATTGACTTCAGCTGAGTTGTTCCTTGCTTAACAGCGGGTCTGAATATGGTTCATTTTGCCTTGACCAAGCACTGAGACTCACGTGATGCCAGCAGCATCTAATCTCATGCTAGTTAAATGCTGCTAGTGTCAGCAGCTGCCCTTCTCAGGGCAAAGACCCTCTTATACACACATTGCTCTGTAGGGTGACCTTATTGAAAACCATCATTTTACAAATAAAGTTCAACCTCTACAGCTACAGTATCCACTAATTATTTATCTATATCGAGCAATATACTAGTCACTTTAGTGGGCTCATCACTATAGTTTCATCATTCTTACCCAATTTCCATATACTTGCCACATTCAGCACAGCTCGTCTAGCTGACAAAAGCATCTGCAATTCTCCTGTCACGTGAAATCGCCCAAAGTAAAGAGAAATTAGCCTTGAGATCTGGATGTTCTCACTAGCCAAGCACTAGGGAAATTGGGGATATTCCCAACAAAGCATAGCCTCCTCTTAATGAATAACCCAGCTTTTGTACCAGCCAGGCCTTCTAAAGTTGATATTTACTGGAAAAATCTCTCTGTTCCTATCAAATATTGTGCTTGCAAGGGGGGCCTCTTGAGACAACCGTGCCATGAAGCCACTGGTGAGCAACTTCAGATGAACCCTGCTAATTTTAAATGGATGCATGTAAACCTCTCAGAAGAGACCAGCCTTAATGACACTGTTGTGCAATATTTTTGTCTGTTAGGGAACATGGCATTATTCATGCAGCCTAGCTGCTGTATGGCCTCTCAGCCACTGTACTTCTTCTCAGAGCGCTCTTACCTTTAAAACAAAAAATTAGTAACTCCCGCAAATAGCTCCCTCCAAGTTCTTCATCAGGGAGATGGAATATAGCAAAGTCCTTCATAAGCCTGGCTTCTCACCTGGGGGCACAGCTTGCCCTCAAAAAAATTGCAGGCGCCCTTCTGTGTCTGCAATTATTTGCAAGAGCACAAAATGTGTCCTTGAAAAAACAAAAGAGAAAAGAAACAAAAACTACCAGAAACCTGCAGGGACAGAGAGAAGCTGGGAGTGTGGCTTTGCCCAGGGTGCAGCCATTCTGGAATTCAATATCTGAAGAGCTTTGTTGTCTTTATTTTTTTCATGTCAAGAGGAGTTCCTGACAGTCTTCTGCAGAAGTAATGAGAACTGCCTGACCTTAAATCCATGCACTCCTACCCTCCTGGTTAACTGGTCCAAGTGAAATGGATAAAATGCAATGCAGTGTCAGAGGAGACATTGCTCTCTATTCTTTCCAGAAGAACTATAATTGGGACCTTACCCTTCTTTAACACTTATTTTTTCTGCCAGAGAAGTGCAGTAGGAACAGAGTAAGGAATTTGCTAACCTTAATATTATGTACTGTGGCTTTGCTCTGGTTTTACTTTTCTTTCTCTCCATAATATTTTCTTTCTTCCTGTCTTTTAAATACCTTCACCCACTTTCTATTTGTTTACTTGCTGCTCCATTCCAGGACTTTTCAGGATGGCAGCCTCTGCTGCTGTTCATGTTTTCAGGTGATGTCTTCACACTGCTGTAGTAGGGGTTTGGATACCTGACCACAGGTTTTCCCCAGTGTCATTGTCATCCTGCTGATTACTTCACAGGGGAGGCCTGAAATGAAACAAGTTCACGTGGCACCAGCCTTCTACAGGTTGCACGTTGGGACTTCCCCATCTCTGATGCTAGGTGCAAGCCAGCAGGAGTGCAGAGGTTGGCCCAAAAGGCTTAGAGCAAGGGGCAGTGTTGTGTGAGTCAAAAGGGCTGGTCTGGCATCGCTATCCTTACCAGCTCCATCCAAGGACTGAGGAGAGCTGAAATGCTGTGACACCAGGGAAAACTTGTGCTCAGGTATCCAAACCCCGCTCCAAGCTAGAGAGCAGTGTGAAGACACAATCCACAAATAACAGCAGAGGCTGCTGCCATCCTGAAAATTCATGGAATGGGGCAGCAAGTGAGAAAATAGGAGGGCGCTGAATGTAGTTAAAGGTGGGGAGCGGGGGAAATATGCAGCAATTCTTACAAGACTAGCAAAAGGTGGGAAATCAAAAATGTCCTTCGGTAGAGGGAAGTTAGACATGGTTAAGATGTTATTTTGATGTCTAAGGAAACTGCTAAAGGGCTCTTTTCTTTTTAGAAGCTGGGAATTCAGAAGAGAGGACAAAACGTGAAGTAGAGGACTGGTAAGCAACCACTAAACATCAAAATAAGATGGAAGTAGGTTTGCCACTCCTGGGTGCTAGTAGAACCCAGGCTTTGTAGGTATGAATTGGAAACAGGCACTTGGCTTTAAAACCATGGACAGCCTGCTCTGCTCTAAGGATGAAAAATCTCATAGCCCAGGTAAAGCAAGACCACACAGACATTGTACAGGGGCCAGTGTGGCGGATGGAACTCTGTCCCCAAGCTGGAGTCAGGCTATGGGGCACCTGCCTGGCCAGCTTACAGCCCGTGGGAAATTACTTGAAAGTCCCAGTGTACAGATAATTTAAAAACGTGTAAAGCCATTGAAATCAATGGGAGCTGCATGTGCTCACCATTTCTGGAAATCAGGTCATTGTGCTAGATAGCAAATGGAAATGGGAAATGGGACAGGAAATGTTGGTGAGTTGAATAATTTAATATTAATTTAATAATAACCAGTGGGTTGTTCATGTGCACACATGTCTTTCTGTGCAGCCAGGTGGAGCTGAATAAGAAAGGGGATGATGACAAAGAGGAAGATAAGGATGGAGACTACAGTCAAGAAGAATATGGCACTAGAATAGACATGGCTGAGCAACTGGTCAGGAAACATGAATTTAATAAGCACAAAACAGTCTTTCTAATTGTTCTATTCACTTGCAAACTGTCCCATCTCCTTTTAAACTTATAGGAAGCAGAGACAGAAGATTTAAAAGTGGAAGAAGTTCTCCTGGAGGTACAGGCAAGTAACTCTAATGCAACTAACTGCTCGTCATTCATCAGAAAACCAAGCAAATGTGGAGGTGACTGTAAGATGTAAGACTCCAGTGAGAAGAGGGTGGGAGGAAGCTAGAATGGAATGAAGTTACTTTCAGAGGAATATGTGTGACCCATTCTATGGAGCATTCGGTTTCAGTCTGATGATCATTACCTGTTGTTTTCATTAAACTCTAGTGCAGAGCTTTGGATTAGTGCCAGACCCTTTCCCATTGCTCTGCTCAAAGGAGAGCTCAGCTGCGCATCTACCCTGAAGGCCAGACATAGGACTCAGTCCTACTGTAGTCTATAAATGGAGCCTATTTGCCTGAGTAAGGGCTGTGGCACCTCTTCATGCCCTCTTCTTTCTCCATGATGACCTTAAAGCAACAGCAGACTCGACAGGAGCATCTTCTGCTATTTTCTAGTCTGTTTTCCCACATGGCTGTAGAGAGTTGGTATATCCTCAGGATGGCCCAATTCAGGTGACTTGAGAACATGTTGAGTGACCTGTGAAAGACTCTCTCCCTGACAAGACCTGAGTTCAAGGTTCTCTATTGCAAAAGAAATAGCTGAAGACACAACAGTTACGTACAATGGGATAAGGAGTTGACTTTTCTGAATGCTCCCTGTGTGGCTTATTAGGTATTAGTAATGTCACCAACCCCAACAGGGAAGCAGCGATCTCTGAACTCAAGTCTAGGCAGGTATGTAAAGAAGAAATTAAATGTAATTTAAAATATATTTACAATGAAATCTTCACTGAGAATCACCTCCAGTAGGTGGGCCCTGGCTGAAGAAACCATGTTAAAGTGTTCAGAAGGCTCCCAATACAATACTGACAGGTTTCAGAGTAGCAGCCGTGTTAGTCTGTATTCGCGAAAAGAAAAGGAGTACTAGTGGCACCTTAGAGACTAAACAATTTATTTGAGCATAAGCTTTCGTGAGCTACAGCTCACTTCATCGGATGCATTCAGTGGAAAATACAGTGAGGAGATTTATATACACACAGAACATGAAAAAATGGGTGTTATCACACACACTGTAAGGAGAGTGATCACTTAAGATGAGCTATTACCAGCAGGAGAGCAGGGGGTGGGGGGAGAAAACCTTTTGTAGTGATAATCAAGGTGGGCCATTTCCAGCAGTTAACAGGAACGTCTGAGGAGCAGTGGGGGGGAGCTCTGGTGGGGAAATAAACATGGGGAAATAGTTTTACTTTGTATAATGACACATCCACTCCCAGTCTCTATTCAAGCCTAAGTGAATTGTATCCAGTTTGCAAATTAATTCCAATTCAGCAGTCTCTCCTTGGAGTCTGTTTTTGAAGTTTTTTTGCTGAAGAATTGCCACTTTTAGGTCTGTAATCGAGTGACCAAAGAGATTGAAGTGTTCTCCAACTGGTTTTTGAATGTTATAGTTCTTGACGTCTGATTTGTGTCCATTTATTCTTTTACGTAGAGACTGTCCAGTTTGCCCAATGTACATGGCAGAGAGGCATTGCTGGCACATGTTGGCATATATCACATTGGTAGATGTGCAGGTGAACGAGCCTATGATAGTGTGGCTGATATGATTAGGCCCTATGATGGTGTCCATGGACAGTCTGCCATGGACAGTCTCTACGTAAAAGAATAAATGGACACAAATCAGATGTCAAGAATCATAACATTCATAAACCAGTCGGAGAACACTTCAATCTCTCTGGTCACTCGATTACAGACCTAAAGGTCACAAGATTACAACAAAAAGACTTCAAAAACAGACTCCAATGAGAGACTGCTGAATTGGAATTAATTTGCAAACTGGATACAATTCACTTAGGCTTGAATAGAGACTGGGAGTGGATGTGTCATTACACAAAGTAAAACTATTTCCCCATGTTTATTTCCCCCACCCCCCACTGCTCCTCAGGTGTTCCTGTTAACTGCTGGAAATGGCCCACCTTGATTATCACTACAAAAGGTTTTCTCCCCCCTCCCCCCCTCTCCTGCTGGTAATAGCTCATCTTAAGTGATCACTCTCCTACAGTGTGTGTGATAACACCCATTTTTTCATGTTCTGTGGGTATATAAATCTCCTCATTGTATTTTCCACTGAATGCATCCGATGAAGTGAGCTGTAGCTCACGAAAGCTTATGCTCAAATAAATTGGTTAGTCTCTAAGGTGCCACTAGTACTCCTTTTCTCTTTGTGAATACAATACTGTTGAATCTTAATTTAGATGTTCAGATACCACAGTAATGAGTGTGGTATAAAAAACCAGGAAACCTCTGCTAGACTCCCAATTTTGGCCAGTGCCTTTGGTAGTCACTTACTAGGTTTTACCATATGTTAATTCTTGTTTTCTTTCTTTTTTTCCTCATTTTCATTTTTTTAAAGATTTTCAATTCACTTAATGCTTCATTGTCTTCTCCTCACTTCTCTCTCCTAGAAAGACCTGTCTGCTTTTGTGGAAATTGACCTAAGAGACGAAGTTGAGGAGGTAAGAAAATAAAACCACCAGCCCTGAACGCACAGGATTTTATCTTATTTAAAGCATCATTTCCCCAGAAGGGGGAGTCTGAGAGTGAAAAGCAGTATGGAATATACAGTTCTCCTTCTGTTTCCAGATCAGCTATAAGCTGCCTGCTACCTCTCTGTGTTTCAATTTCCTCATAAGTGCAATGGCCTTAATACGTCCTTACCTCAGACAGGTATTGTATGGTTTGATATTGAGGTTTTTAAAGTGCACTGAAATCCTTTGAAAGGAAGGCCTTATAAAAATATAAGGTGTTTACTGTTATTAACAAGATAAAGCGTGTGTATTATCCAAAGAGGCCATGTGCAGTTCCTTCTTTTATTATAGAAATACAATAAGGTGATCCAGAGAATCATAGACCTGTAAATCTTACAGCTGTACCTGGCAAACTGGTTGAATCGATAATTAAAAGAGAATAACAAAATATATGGAAGACTGTGACCTGATAGGTCTAACCAGCACAAATGCAGCAAAGGAAAATCACGTCTCACTAATCTCTTAGAATTCCTTGAACACATCAGTAAAGTAGTGGATAAAGGTGTGATGCTTTGGAGGTCAGCCCGGGTCAGTGTCACCACCTGCCCTGTAATCTTGGGTGCTTCTGTGCTGTGCAGCCTTAGCTCAGAGCCCTGCCACCAATAGCCGGCTCACAGCATAGTGGCTTCACCCTAGCTTCCACCAGCCTGGTTACTCCTTGCAGGGTGACCCCAACAGCCCTTCCAGACTCGAGTCTCCCCCAAACCGTCTGCCCTGCAGTGTCCAGTCCCTCTCCCTGGCACACTCACAAAACCCTTTCAAGTTTGCTGCTCCTTTAAAGAGACAGTACACACCACCAGCCTGTTAGTTTGGCTGACGATTTCACTCTTCCATTTGCAATGCTGAACTGAGACGGTTGTGTAACAAAACAAGAGCAAGTGATGGTGTTGCTGTGTCAGTCCCAGGATATTAGAGAGACAAGGTGGGTGAGGTAGTATCTTTTATTGGACTAACATCTGTTGGTGAGAGAGACACGCTTTTAGAGCTCTTCTTCAGGTCTGGGAAAGGTACTCAGAGTGCCACAGCTAAATACAAGATGGAACAGATAGTTTAGCATAAGTAGGTAGCACATATTCCAAGGGACCATTCACGGTGAAGGGGCCCCTTAATACTCCAGTAGTCACAGGAAAACAAGGCAGGTTAGTGGGTTGCAGATTGTTGTAATAAACCATAAATCCAGCATCTTTATTCAGACCATGATTTTTAGCATCTAGCAAAGTTATGAATTTAAGCTCCAAGGCTTGTCTTTTCACAATATGATCACTCTGTATCTGACCTAACAGTCCTCATCCCCAAAGGAAACCCGCACAACACTTTGAAAAGATAAGTTTGGGAGCTTTGCTAGATACTAAAAAATTCCTCCACTCTGGTTTTCCTGATGGCTTTGTTCTACCTTTCATGTAAATGTAATTTCATTGTCCCTCCTTGCTCAATTTACATTGGAGACGGATTCAAGCAGCCAGAACCACATTCCTTTGTCTAGGAAGAGGTGACCTCAGCCTTGCCTGCCAAAGACCTTTTAAGAATATATTTCCAGCACACCTTTATAATTTTTTATATAACACCCATACGTACACCACATACATGGGTGGCGGGTATCGTAGGCAAGGGGCGGCTGTGCCTCCCCAAACAGCCTACTGTGGCCCTGCCCCCAGGCCGGCATGCCTCCTGCAGGGTCTCGGGGCAGCTGGTGCTGCACTGTGCTGCCTGCCTGGCGCTCTGGGACTGGCCACCCGAGCACCAGGACTGGGGGCCGCCTGGAGCACTGGGGCTGGGGACGCGGCTACCGTGCTGCCCAGACACCCAAGCACCGGGACTAGGGGCCGCCCGGGGCTGGGGGCATGGCAACTGCACTGCCCAGCCACCTGCAGCACCAGTGCTGGGGGTGCTGTGGCCGTGTGGCCCAGGGAGAGTGGGCGCTGAGGTTGCGGTGCACCAAGGCTGGGGCCTCGCCACCCCGGCCGTCGAGGTCTGGGGGGCCATGGTGAGGGTGCTTTGGGCTCCTGCGGGGAAAGGGGAAGCAGAAGGGGGGGCAGAAGGGGAGGAGCTGGGAGTTAGCCTCCCTGGGCGGCTGGATCACTGGCCACCCATGACCACCTTATAATATTGATGACCACTGTGTTACCACTTAACATATGACACAGTAGAACCTCAGAGTTACAGATACCTCAGGAATAAAATTTGTTCATAACTCTGAAATGTGGGTAACTCTGAACAAAACGTTATGGGTGTTCTTTTAAAAGTTTACAACTGAACATTGATTTACTACACCTTTGAAACTTTACTATGCAAAAGAAAAATGCTACCTTATCTTTCCTTACCTTGTCAAATCTTTTTTAAACTTTACCTTTGTTTTTTTACTAGTTTATGTTTAACACAGTACTGTACTGAATTTGCTTTTTTAATTTTATTTCTTGTCTCTGCTGCTGCCTGATTGTGCACTTCTGGTTCCAAATGAGGTGTGAGGTTGACTGGTCAGTTCGTAACTCTGAGATTCTACTGTACCTTACATGACACTCCTTAGATACATATCATGCCAACAGTGAGTTGGGGTACACTAAGCTGGTGAGGTCAGCTGAGGCTCATTGCTCCATGATGGGGAATCCCTTGCCCTCTGGCACTGAGGTGTTATTCGGGTCACAAAAGGAGAACCAGTTGACAATTTATTTACATTTCAAAAAGACCTTCAACAAGGTCCCGCACAAGAGGCTCCTAATGAAGCTAAGTAGTCATGGGGAAAGAGGCAAAGTATGTCATGGATCAATGACTGGCTAAGAGGCAGAAAACAAAGTAAGATTAAATAATGGGCAATTTTCCTCCTTGCAACAGATTAGCAGCAGGGTGCCTCAATGTTCTCTACTAGATCCTGTGGTGTTCAATATATTTATTACTGATTGGAAAGCAGGATGAGTAGTGACATAGCAAAATTTGCAGATGACGCAAAGTTCTCTAGGTTAGTCATGACCAGAGAGAACTGTGAGGAAGTTCAGAGAGCTCTAAACATGCTAGGTGAATGGGGAACACTCCGGCAAATGAAATTCAGTATCATTATATCCAAAGTAATGCATGTTGGAAGGTTTAAGCTACTTGTACACCTTATGGAGGTCTAAATGATCACTTCAGGAAAGGAACCTGGGGATCATTGTAGATATCCCAATGAAAACCTCTGCTCAGTGCGCAGCTGTGGTCAAAGAAAACTTACAAGGTGTTAGGATGCATAAAGAATGCAATGGAGAATAAAAACCACAAAAAATGCCTTTATAATGCCTTTCCCTAAATCAATGGTACAGCCTCACCTGGAACACTGAGTGCAGTACGGGTCACCCCATCCCAAAAGGATATTCAGAACTAGAGGGCGTTCAATGGGAATTATTCACGGCTTAAAGTTACGATTCTTAAGTGCTTTTCTGGACTGGAGCCTCATCAGGAAAGGAAGTAGAAGTAACACAGGGAGCAGACTTGTTAACTGAAAGATACCATTTTCATAGTACTTTGTGGAGTAGAGCTGCACTTTTAAGATTTGCTGTATGTTGTTGTTAGATGGAAGTATTTAGTCAAGAAATTCCTGTCTGTAAACATTTTTTGTGGTTCAGATAACTGAACACTTCTTGACAGAGGAGAAACAACCGGAAGAAGAGGAAGAACCAGCTGAACTCGAGTATGGAAAACATTTTAACCTTCATGCAAAACATTAGAGAGAAAGGCTAATGTAAAATGATGATGAGGTGTGTTCTTGTTGGGCTTGTTTTATCATGAATATATTATAGGACAAATCACAAGCTGGTGGAGTTGCAAAGGGACATAAGTCATGAAGACCGTATCACAGTATCGCAGGCATTTTTTATTCCCCAAATAATCCCTCCCCCACTTCTGCCTTCCTCTTTTAGTGCCAATAACTATAGCTGTGTTTTCACACAGGAGCACAGTTCTGGAACCTTAGTTGCCAGACCAGCCCTTACTGATCTTAAACCTGGCTTGTAACTCCTCCATATGTTATCATTTCCCCGCAACTCTCCCAACCTCGAATGAGGTAGAAACCTGCAGTGTTTACTCTGGAAGATGCAATGGAATGTCTGGCTCCTTGCTCAGCCTCTTCCTGGGAGCCAGGGATTCTGGCACGGAGTGCATCTTTTGGTTGGGATTGTCAACTTGGAGAGCAAGACTGGGGCTAGGCTAGAATCTGGCTGGGGTAGAGGTGAATTGCCCTGGCTCATAGGCTATGGGCTGAATAGAGGGATCTAAGGGTGGAAGATCCAGTCATCCTAACCCAGATACAGTAGAAGTCTCAGCCTGCAAGTCTGACAAGAGTTGTTTTTACTTTGCATGTAGTTAGCCATTGCTGGGGTGTTATTTCTTAGGCATATTTTTGAATTTTGAAAGATTGGTTCATTCTTTAACTATTTTATTTTCCCTGTACTTATTTAACCGACTTTTAAGACTAATAAATAAGCGTATTCTAGTGGGAGCAACAGCAGACATGAAAGTTGCATAAGACAAGGAGTTTCCATTCTAGCCTTGTTTTCAGTCTCATATAACTTCTGGATACTTTCACCTTTGAGGGTGAAATTTTTCAGGGTTGGTCTTTACCTGAAGGTGAATATATGTGTGGTTGTGAGGGAAGTAAGAGGGAGTTTGAACAAGCATGAGTCAGTTATTTTTGAGTATGGGGGTCAGGGGAGTACCCTTCCCCACCATGAAGTGTTGTGATCACTTTTTGAATTGTTCTTTAGCCAGAGACGACCCATACCTGCCAATGGGATGGGGGAGGGGAGGTGGCGCAGAGTGAGGACAGTGGCTTCAGAAGATGTTACTGAGCACGCTCAGTCTGTGTGAGCATGCTCAGTACAAGCCAAGCAGCAACTCTGAGGTGGTCATGTGACCTCGTGTGCCCTCCTCCCACATGTCACCTCTGTCTTTAAACAAACTAACTGTGAACAGAAATTTAGCATTTTATATGGCCTTAGCCTTCATTGAATCACTGGTGGAAATTGTTTTTGATGTGACCTATACGTCGCTTTCATGTGCGGCACGCGCAGTTGTCGCTGATTTAGCTGTATGTTGACCCGTGTACTGAAGGTGTAGAGGGAGGGCTACACACTTTGTAAAGTTTGCAGAAGAAGTCCCCCTCTGATGCACCTTGGGAGCAATGAAGCTCATAACATTACTTGGTCTGCAAGAGACACCCCCCTACCCCCCCCGCACTCCGGTTAAAGTGGGATGGACAAGGTATATTGGTGATGTCAAGCCAAAGAGTTCCATATTTACATGCTCTATTGCTAATTCGTTGCAAATCAACAGAGCTTCAATACCCTGGAGAGTGAGGCTTCCCTTTTCTATGTTTTTATCTCCATCTTTTTCCATTATTTAAAAAAAATCCTAGGAAATGTCATTGAAAAAATCTACATTGGAATTAGAGTTACACGGTTAAGAACTGAAAAGTTGGAAAATAAGTTGCTTAAAGTATGCAGTGTTGTAGCTGTGGTGGTCCCAGGATATTAGAGGGACAAGGTGGGGGAGGTAATATCTTTTATTGGACTAACTTCTGTTGTGAGAGACAAGCTTTTGAGCTTATATAGAGATGCTCTTCAGCTCTGCTGCACTGAGAGTCACTTTATTCAGTCTTCAGAGTAGCAGCCGTGTTAGTTTGTATCCGCAAAAAGAAAAGGAGGACTTGTGGCACCTTAGAGACTAGCCAATTTATTTGAGCATAAGCTTTCGTGAGCTACAGCTCACTTCATCAGTCTGTCATTCTGCAGCTGTCATTTTCCTACAAGTCCTGCTTTTCCTTTGTACCTCCTTCCCTTTATACTCGATTTGGGCACTAGGTGGTGCTCTTAGTATGTGCTGGCCTTGTTCTCTGAGCACTTGAAGGTCCTTCTCTGCAATACTTGTAAATGCACTGCTGTGTGATACAACTCATGGGCACTACCTCATTTCTAATGGTAGCAAGACAAACCTCTTGCTGTTTAGACAATGTTAAATTAATGAAATTTGGAGAATGTTAATTTTCAAGTGGCATCACTTGTGCTATGAAAATACAAGTGACCTAAAATCTACTATTCACTTTGCAGGGCCTAGTAAGTATTTAAATGTATGCACCAATTACAGTGTGAGGCAAATATTTCAGAAGTTTGAGCTGCACCTCAGACGGTGTATTGTTCTAAACATTGGTTCTGTGCTCCCTTTTGCCAGGGGGCGGGAGTCTGTAAAATGGTGTTCTGAGCTCTTGCAAATTTATTTCAAGTATCGTGATTTGGGCCTTCCTTGCAAAGCACTCATGAAAATAGGACAAGCTCCTGTCTTCATGTGATTTTGGAAAAGATAGAGTGGGACTCCCCACACAATGCCCTGTAGTCTGAAGAAATAAATTCTAGTCCTGTATGTTGCACTGAAATTATGAATCTTTTGTGGCTTTCTCAAACTTTATTATTAACCAGGGCCTCACACTGCTACCTTAGGGAAGATAACTATAATTCACCCATTGATAGATAACTGCGGGCTTGTCCTTGTCCTGTCCACATACAAAATCCCTTTCCATGAGTGTGCTGGAGCTTTTAACGGAGCTGGCTGACCCGAGAAGCGGCTAACATGATCCCTCTGCAGACTGGATGCAGGCTAGCTCTCTTTGCGTGCCGCTAGTACTACAATGCCTTCCCACAATTTCCCCTTTGTTCAAGGGGAAGCAAGCAAGTTTTCCCACAATTCACTGGGAAAGCATTCAAAAAGCAGCTCAGCTTGCTCCGGTGCTGAGAACCATGGGCTATGCCCCCCGAAGCCTGAAAGCCACACCAGAGTGAGCGAGTGCAGTACCCGTGTGGTTACAGCAACTCGAGCGTTACTTTGCAGCGTGGCCGCTCTCACTTGAGCGAGGCGAACTTGGGAGGAGTGTCTTGAATGGAGATGACTTGTGTTAACTCCACCGTGAAGATCCAGCCTGAGAGCTTGCACAGGATCACTTCAGGCAGAGCTGGGAATAGAACCCAGGCCTTTAATAAAACAAAGCCAAGTAGCATCCACTTTGTCATGCTGCTATACAGTGTTAGCAACACTGTAACTATCAACACACCTATTGGGGCTGCTCAGGGGAGTTCAAACTTCAGAGGACAGACCAAAAAAGCATGATTTAATCTTGTTTAAAAATTCTCATGATTTTTTGGTCAATCTTGTGATTTTGGGGGTGTAACTTACAATTTTTGAACTTTTGGGGTTGAGAATCCTAGTAAAATGGGAATAATACTTCTTTACCTCCCCCAGATGATGTGAGGCGTGCATTAATAAATAGCTGCTGCATTTTGAACTCGTCAGAAGCAATGAAATGGAACTGAAAAGCATGAACCTATGACAAAGCACACATTGTACTGGCTGCAGCCAAACTAGACTGTCGATAATGTGAAGTTCTTTCTGTAGATCTGCTTCTAAACTGACCAGCGTCTCTCTCTCTCTCTCTCTCTCTCTCTCTCTCTCGTGTTTCTGGTTTACAGGCCCCAAAGCAACTGGCTGTGCTGCTTTCCAACCTGGACAAAGCAGAAGAAGAAAAGGATACAAATAGGATAGCCATGAAAAGGTAAATTCAGTGCCTAGGAGGCATTTGAAATGCTGGTCAGGGGGAATGATGCAGGCCCCAATCTGATGGGGGTGAGGCACATGTGAGGATTAAGAGAATATGAGAAACTTCTCCACCTCTATTCTTTCATGCTCTCTCTATCTGGCTCCTGCTCTTCTTTCATATTTCCCCTTCCCCAAGAAATTGACCATTCAAGGCTACCTTATGCTGTCGAGATCCTGCCTGCTGCACTGGGTTTGATGTCACTAGGGATTCTCCTTTGATAAGCACTCTGCTCTTCGCACAATATAGGCAGAGCAGCTAGCCCTGTGGTGGGGGCCTGGGAACACAAGGAACCCCCTAAAGAGGTAATTTATAGCTTGATCCTGAGAAGTGCCAGAGCTCACCCTGCAGTGGCTGTAGGGTGACCCAATGTCCCGATTTTTATGGGGACAGCCCCGATTTTTGGGTCTTTTTCTTATATAGGTGCCTAATACCCTCCACTTCCTGTCCTGATTTTTCACATTTGCTGTCTGGTCACCTTACATGGCTGGGAGTGGGAGATATGCAGCATCCCTCAAGAGCAGGCCCTAAAAACCAAATGAGTGGTGGTGACTTTGCTGCTGTTCTCTGCAGATCAATGGGGTTTTGGTTTTGTTTCTCACTGGGAGCCATGTGAGGAGGAATCTGTAGAAATCCCTTCTGGAGAACTCATTGCCAAATGTTTGGAGCACAATAGGATGCTGTTTGGCACTAGAAATGAAAATGAGAGTGGCTCCCTGCTAGTTCCTATTTTGGGACCGTCATAAACCACAACAGGCAAGCCATCCGCTAAACAAGCCATGCTCGAGAGGGACGTCAGAACAGTGAGCGGGATGGCAGGTTGGGCTACGGGGCATCAGAAGGGATTGTACATAGGTGGCAGATCCTTTTCAAAATGAAATCACCTATTGTGGTATATGTACACACTAGTTATGCTACATGTCTATATCCTTACACAGGAGTCTCCAGCCTTTTTGTACGAGGGCCAACATAAACCAATCTGGAAGGACCAGTAGAGAAACGAGCACTAATTAAACTCAGAAAAAACGCAGAATTAGACTGGTTTGTTCCTACGCTTGTGACACCTCAGTAAGAAGCTCGCTACTGCAA